CCGAAATCCTGACTAAAATTCCATGTGATTATTTCAGATGTTATGTCAAGGCTCTGTGTAGTTATTTATGTATCATGCTGTACACATATTAAGCTCAGACACTCGTTTATACCGTCCGGATTTCTCAAATTTTCGTTTTTATAATCGCGACCATCGAATCGCGTAACATTATTTTATTTTAAACATATTTTAAGTAATAAATATGAATACCACACATTCCAGATGAAAATTCTCTTTTCTTATATTTCTCGGAAACCTCTTTTAATTCAAAAACCTCTATTTCATACGTAACTTATCTCACAGATGAATATTATTTTATTTCTATATTATTAAAATAATTATCCAGAGTAATACTGATTCATATTTTCTATTTCAGTAATTTTTAAGATCTTTTATGTCTGAAGATGGCTGTCATCTGGGTTATAGCGCCGTGTAGTCTGGTAGTAGTATCCTGACGTTTCAGAGGTCCTTGCCGCCTCCATCATCAGGGCGATAAATAAATTTCTATCAGACTAAGCAGTGCAACAACCCAAAAACCCAGAAGGCAGTCACCTTCGTACACACCGCCGTGATTATCTGAAATCCGACTTAAAAATTAATTATCAGATTGTGGAAAGTTTCCATCCAAATCTGTTTTTGTGCAAAGTGTATTACCTCGACCTGAATAACGTCAATGAATCTCATATGTTTATAAAACAGATGTTGATTTTGAATTAATTAAAAGCAATAAGATACGAACTATTATCGAGCAAGACGCCTAGCTGACAACCTAGAGTGAATGTCTGATCCACAAGAAATCATTTTGTTACAACGCGAAGACTGCTTCATTTCATGGGACATATCACATTTACGTAAAATAACACAGGATCAAGTGAGCTCTTTCATCTGTGACAGAAACTGATGTTGTCTGTCAAAGTTTAGTGGACCCCATTGCAATTCTCGTAGTTTTCGATATCACAAAACACAATATGTAGGTCACTTAAACGTGGGTTAAATCATAACGCAAAGAATCAATGGATTTGAAACAGGCGTCATTATAACTCGATCACGAGGCAAATCTTTGTTTCCGATGACAAGTGTCGGAATCTTATGCCCCGGACAAGCGTTTGCAAGACTACACTCTTTGCATAGTCAATATTAAAAGTCGATGTTGCCACATTGACATGAGGAGAGAGAATGCCCTGTAACATCTGTCTTCCTTCATTAAATATTTCCCTAATTTGTAGACACATTTACCTTCGCTGAAATGTAAATGTGGCAACATGGCTTTAAATTATTAATATTGTGGCGATTTGACACAGTATCTGTGATCCTTCACTGTCGGTTCAATTATAATAATTATAAGGAACACATTTTGTACAGACTTGAACGTTTCCAAGGCAATTAGTCGATATTTAACTTCGATTAACGTGAAAACGTTAAGACGTTAAACGCAGTTCCATAGGTTTTGTCTGTTTAAACGGCTACATTTAAATTAAATTTTCAAAATTTTCTGTATTTTCATGACTTGGAGTTCTTACTGAATCCACAAGTGTGTCTGTGATCATCCAAGATGGCGCCCCGTGACGTAACGTGGTTTATGTATTTTAATCCTCTGATATTAAAGTTTGTTTGGATGTAATCAAAAGGAAACCAAAAACTAATTTGTAGGTTAGGACTTTTATAAATTTAAATTAATTAAAACAATGATAAAGAGAGGCAAGTTGACCGACGCAGTAATTTCAAAGCAGCTAAGACGGAAATGGCACGGGCCTCAGAAAAATAACAGCAGATCCGGGACCTCGATTTACATATTTCTCGTAAATATTTTTAATAATAATAATTCAAACGCACCATAAATGTTTGTTAGTAGGTACATTACTTCCAGCGTGAGAACAGAGACAAATACTTTCAACGTCTCCTGGCTTCTAGCAACGTGTAATCTGGTACAAATTTACCGACGTTCCAGATGTCCTTGCTGCCTCGACCATCAGGGTGGCACATTGGCATCTGTCAATACTGGTAGTCAGTTGACACTGAAGTAAGTCATGGCAAATCTCTCTGAGGATAGCCGCTAATTCGACGGGGATTTTAAGCGTCTATTTACAAATAAAAGTTACCACCGATTTACATTCGGTCAGTTTAACGGGATAAGTGTTCTAGGGTTTAACATACTGACCAGGTTAGCTAAGAGCACAAAAGCGTCCTCTCAGCGATGAAATTACGTTGAAGTGGTAGAAGGCGTCCGAGAATTCGCCCGGAAGTTGCGAAAAACTCACGATTCCCCTACCGAGATTCGAAGTGGGACATCGAAGACAGGGCCTTGGAAGGCTACAAGATCGCCTCCTTTCTATTTATTTTACTTTCCATTCATCATACGTACTCTAATCACAGATAATTTCATATGCTTCCATATCACAAAAATTCTGTTGTTGATACAGCGTTTTTAAATAATTACCTACCAACCAGTCAACAACGCACTTCGTACTTCAGTAAGCAACCTGTAAGGTGCGTTAAACCTTTCCACCTTCATGGTCAGAGGCGTGACGCAGTGTAAACAAATGAATCGCTTTAAGTCATTAGAGTCGACGAGAATTCATCGGCGCACTCGGACAGAGCCGGGATTCTTTCACGTGTCAAACTCAACTCCATAAATATTAATAAAATTCAGAAGCCATATCGATTAGTTTCGCAAACTTAAATAAAACCACCTGAAAATGACTTATTTAGGTCGAAACATGTAGTGGATTCTTGATAAAAGTTGAAACTATAATCAAGAATCTCTGTGTGGACGGACTGCCAACCTAACGATCAACATACGAAAGGTTGCATCGCTTAAAACGTTAATTATCAATTTATTTCAAAAACCATAAGATGTGGTTACCATTTCATAATAAATTACATAATTTTATGAAGGTAATATAACACAGTGGAGTCTGTAAATTAATCGGAATATTTGAAATGATACGTGTAGCGCGTATTTGACTCCCGAAGTTGTGTAGTTACAAAGGACGACGATAGACAGCAGGATTACCCAACCAATAAATTACACGCTTCAAGTGAAAATATAACCATCGCTTTCCCTTGTCTTCAAATGACCACGGCACTGGAACCATAAAAGCGAAACGTGCCCAAAAATACGATACGACAATCGATGTCAAAACGCTTTCCATTGTCAAGAATTACGACTGCAGGAAAGTCTGACATGTTACGATCTCGACAATGAAATACTTGAAATGGCGGCACAGATTCTTTTGTGACAAGAAACTGCACTTCTGAAATTCGTTCAGATTTACTCTAGACTGCGTGGTTAACCTCAGTTTCTTGAATACGAAAGAGGTGTGACTAAGGGGCGGTTAGCAAGAGTTACAGCTCCCGTTAAGAAGTTCGGTAAGGCCAAAACAAGATGTCTCTGCGTGTATCCACAGTCATTCTTCATGCGAAGAGAGTAAAGGGGAGATTTTCGGTTGATGCAATGAGATTTTTAGTACAAAATCGAGGTGAACGCTGGCCACAGATCGTCCCCCCAAACTCCACTGTCTCTAAAAACAAATATTTCCTAAGTACACGCTCTGCAAAGCCTTTCTAGGAGTGAATTTAAAAGAAAGTATTTTTGTTCATTTTAACCAAACATTACTACTACGTCTTGCTATCAGTGTACTCTTAATTCTATGAAGAATGTGGCCAAATGATCATTGCATGAATGATTATATTTGAATAATTGTTTGTGTAGTCTGGTTTTTTAAATGCTGAAGTTCAAAATTGTTACGTATCTAATGAAAAAAAAATTCGCATGAATACTCTATATATAAAACACGTGTAAAATCAATTATCTGACACATTGTGACATCAGAATGTTTATAAGTAGGGAACAAACGGGCCCTTCAAGATGGCGACGAGATTTATCGTACAGGCAACTCTCGGTTGACGAACGTCACAATTCTTTCAAAATTTCTTAAACTCGCCAATAGATAGAGTTCCTTATAAAGTTGAATACATAAATTATGTTGGTACTAATTTTCTTTATTTATATTTTGTAACTCTTTACGATTTTAATTAAAATTAAGGAGTACGATATCTTGTCTTATTCTACTTTACGTTACGTATATTATATTATTGTTCACCCGAAATATTTCGACTTTCATCCTGACTTAACTTTTTGGCGATTTCATAACTTTATTCAGATAGAAATAGAATTCACGCCCAAATTCTCCATAGTGTCAATTGAATAAAAATTTCCTTGGATATTATCCATCGTCTAGTAAATATAAAACGTAAAACGACGTTTCGGAGATGGGACTCTATCTCCGTCTTCAGGTTCCTACACAGTTGGGAACCTGAAGACGGAGATAAGAGTCCCATCTCCGAAACGTCGTCTTACGTTTTATATTTACTAGACGATGGATAATATCCAAGTAAATTTTTATTCAATTGACTCTTAACCATCGTCAAGAAGTTTTAGATTTGATATTCTCCATAGTGTGATTACTAGTTTTAAAATACGTAAAAACGACATATGTCCTAAAAAGGTTATTTTTCGAGGATCACGTCACCGTCAAATGCGGTAACACATCTCAGCGGCGTTGTCTGACTCGGTGACTCGTTGCAACGCGTGTACTCAGAGCACAAAGTGCACATCGGGACTCATCTGTCACTGGACGATCTTGAAACACGACGAATGCCCATGGCTTCACGATTTAAATGTCTCAGTCATTTCGCGATGAAATGTAACACGAAAATTGAACGTCTCAGGACATACGTTGTTTAATATTCTCGACTCGTTTGTGTTTATATACAAGGAATCTCACTATGGAGACCTTGTGGGCTAATTTCGTTTTAACTGTACGTTTAAGTGTGTTTGTTTGTATGTAAGTAGTTATATTTTACACAAGAAGTCACTTTATATACGTCACGTTTCAAATAAGAGCAGGTCTACATTTTTATAATCATTTAAGGTAATTAATATTCCAACGATTAATCAATTAATGCTTCTGAAAATTATCTATTCGTCACGGTCTTACCTTTAACTGCGGCAGATATCCTGTCCAGAATGTCCAGTTTCAGGGGCAGGGGTGGCCAGTCCAGCTCCATGTACGGGTCTTCTCTGACAGATGTCAGCAGCCCCTCGCGTCGAAACTCTAATTTCCTCGCCAGAAATATTTTAGTGTCTTTCACTCGTAACTTTTTCACAAAATTCACTCCTGGAAAGACAGAATAATCGCCCGTCACACTCGACGAACAGTTCAGATCGTCCAAAATCGGCCGTAAATCCACTGCCGCTTCTGTGAATTTACCCACGTGGTGATATTTTTTTACGTTTAAAATCGACGTCCTACTTCTTATTATTCTTACTCTAACGCTCTCTCCGGCGTTTAAATTTTCAAACACACCGACGTTGTTAATTTTTTTAAAAACCCTTTTCACCGTAATAACTGCTGTGACTTCGCCATTGTCAGAATGCGTCAGAGAATTCACTTTTCCTGTAAAAATCGCAGTAGCGTGGCGTGTTGCCATGGATACGGCGTCTTTCGAGTCCCAACAGGCTGCAGTGACGTCATAGCCTCGTGTTAACGTTATTAACAGCACCAAAAGAATACAACTTCGTCGGTTTGTCACTGTAAGAGACAAACGTAACATTTTTTCTAGGTTAATTGTCAGTCCGAAGCCAAATTAATGAGTAATCTGTTCTTTACATGTTACGTTGTACTTCTGTGGACGTATTTGTTGAATCCAGTGACGTCTATTTGCATTGAACAGTCTTTTGTAGTTTAGTAAGCTCTTCGAAAGATAATCTGTCCACTGTCTTACATAAATCACTGTTTAACACGAGGTTCTTGAATATTTTTTCACGTCACATATGATATAAAACTAGCAGCGATGTATTAACCACTGACAAACAGATTCCAAGGACAGTTCATACGAATAACTGCGCCATTGTGACGTTCAACTGTCTCACGCGACAGAGACAAGTGAGCTACGCCTCCCGCTGAAGTGTTTCTCAGATAAGCAACGGCTGAATTCTGAAGCAGACGGAACGAGTGACCTCCTCAGTCAGACGTCGGTAGTGAAGTGTCGCTAGCCATGCAAAATGCAAAGAGTACTTGGTAAATGCACAGCCTAGTTCACACTGGTTCACCCGTCAAGTTAATAAACTTCCAGCGCGTCATTTAATTTCCGAAATGTTACGGATTCATTTTAAAAGTTGCGATAACCAGAACTAGGCCTTAGTATCCAACAAATAAAATTTGGTTCAGTCGAGCAAATGTGGACCTAAATGACGCACGAAGATGACACTTGAGAGCCATCTTTGAGTGAACTTACGTACCATTACGAAATGAATAAAACAATTCTGTTTAAATGACACATAATGTTTACACAGAGCTACTAATCGACGTGAAAATCGATATTAGCTCGTATCGATCCAATTTTACCGCCATCTTATGTTTAAACACGAATAGATCTTCAAGGGTTTTAATAAAACTTTTGCTGTCGACATTATTTTAGAAGTCAAAATTGTTTACGAAGAAACTTTGCAGTTTTGTATAAACGTAGTCTACTTGTGATCTTGGACACTCCAAGTAAAATTCCATTGATTTTTATTAAATTTATGGCTGGATTGAGATCCTCAGGGCAAATAAATCTCTAAAAAAAACACGTGTGCCAACGTAACACGTGACGATACCAACATGTGTGCGTTGTACAAATCCCCCGATACATGAATTCTGATTCCGCTGTATAAGGTGACTTACAACCCACACTGTAGGTTGGCATGAGCGTTTTTAAATTTTGCGGGGGCGAAACCCGAAGGTAGGGCAGAGAAAGGTCGACTATCACAGACAAACAAACATAGTTATGTTTCTCATTCGACCACAAAGCTGCCATTGTGTTAGCAACATGGGACAGAGCCGAACTAACTAACGAGCTACCTCATTTATTCATTGATCTAACCCAAATTTTAAATTCCCTTGAATCGAAAATTGGACTCATTTAACGCAGTTAAAATACTACATTATAAGCCTATTTTAAGTAAATTCTTTTTAATATTATCCTCCCCTCTACACGGCTCTACCACCCGAATTACTCCTTATCCCATCGTGTATGTTTCACCTCCGAAAGAACTCAATGGATTTCGATGTAATTTATATATTCCGAAATTAAAGGAAGTCGTCTGGCGAAGTTTCGTTCCGGTTTACAACCTGTGTGAAGTAGCCTGTCCCCACAAAGTGGCTCGCGATCTCTGATCTATATAGTATGTAGTCTTTTCCAGCGTAAGTTTATGTTCAGCTAAGCATCCAGTTATATATAGATAATTTATTTACGTAACACGAAAGCATCAGCTAGGCGCTGTTAAAATATAATTTTGATTTGGGAATATTTTTTTTTTATAATTTCAGATACAAAATTTCCCTCGGTTTATACTTGATGGTAATTCTGTTTTAGAAATGTTTGCAGACCTGATAGGAGTCTATTAAAATAATTCCGTCCGTCTGATTCTCTACAGGCAATACATGTAACAATTATGGAATTTCCGAAAACATTTCTGTGTTATTTTACAACTGGACATTTTTATTACAGTTTGTCAGTTATTACTGGGTGGGGAATCCCAGCGTGGGAAATCCTCACCCAGTATCGCAACTATGTGGGTGATCCTCATCATAATAGGTCATTAAGTCGAGATCATTTCTACGCATAAATGAGTTCGAACAAAGAGACCGCTGGTTCAATTGTTTGCGAAACGACAGTCACTCGGTTATTAAGGTTGCCTACCGCGCAGGAAAAAGGGTCCACAAGTTGTTCGCTCCTTCTAGATCACTAAGAAATCCCAAGGAGAGCAGCAGAATTTCAGTTTGTTACACAAAGATTATGTAAAGGAATATTTATTGTTGGAGGAAGGTAATTTATGTATATTGTAAAAAGCAAGGGACCTAAAATTGATCCTTGGGGAACTCCGCGTTTTCTTGTTCCCCAGTTTAAGAAAAAAATTCCATTTGTTTTTAGGTGTTTTCACTTCGACCTTTTGTTTTCTATCTGTTAAATAGGATCTGAACCATTGCGCTGCTATTCCTTGAATGCCATAAAAATGCAATTTATCCAACAAAATTTCAAGATTTACACAGTCAAAAGCTTTTGCTAGATTACAGAAAAATCTTTGAACATGCATTTTTTGGTTAACAGATTTTAGCACATTGTCTGTTAGTTTGAATATTGCATCTTCAGCGGATACGCCTTTCCTGAAGCCAAATTGTTCTGGGACCAAACACATTAGAAAAATTAATTAATAGTGAATTTTTTCATAATAGTTTTTTTACAGTGGCTTTACTACTGATATTTTAAGGCGGTCCAGGAAAATGCCCGTGTATAATCAGTGATTACAAATTTGGGTTAATGGACGACTAATTAAAGCTGAACAAACTTTCAAAATTTTACTTGTTATTTCATCATAACCTGATGAGTTTTTTTATTTGAGGGACTGTATTACGCTTTTGACCTCAGTTTCAGTGGTTGGAATTATATTAAGACCAGAAAATCTTACAGGAAATGCAGCTTTTAAAATGGAAACAGCATCTTCATTTAAATTTAAGCTTTCAGTAATTGTTAGAAAAAACTAATTGAAGGCATTAGCCACTGTTCCTGGATCCTTTACTTTTTCATTGTTTATTAGAAGAGATGGCATCTGTTCTGAAAAATGTATTTTTCCCGTCTCCCTTTTTATTATGTTCCATTTTATTTTTATTTTATCTGATTTTGTTATAACATTATTCAAGATTTTACAATGCTTCACGTAAAATTCTCTAGTGTCTGGTTCATTATTGTTCCAACCGTAAGTATATATAAATACATTTTACGTTTGCAAGATATACTTTTTTTATATTTAATTAGACAACTAGCTTCGACAATTCAAAATAGTTCAGAATGTCTGCAAACAAACTTAATCCAGTCTGTTGCCTCACAATACACGTGAGATAAAATTCTGCAGTTTGGTATCTTAGAACATTTAAAATGAATAATTAAAAAAATAAAAGTATTTAACTTCACACTACAAAACTACGTGAAATCACTTGTATGACGTAGTGACTTTCCACCGGATTGCCCTCGCTTTGAACTAAAAAGAACATAATTTCATTACCGTCAGTTTATAAATTTTTTTTTCGAGATACCTAACCTCAAACTGGTAAGATAATCTATGTACTTCTATTGTAAGTCTGTACTGAGGCTCTGAGACATCGGCATCTAATCTGACAACACCCTTTCCTCCTCAGATGTAAAATATTTTGTTGTGATCAAACTTTGTTATCTACGTAATTGATTTAATAATTTTCGGTAATTAAATAAGTAACTTCCGATAGCAGATTTATAAACACCATAATTAACAGCTGACAAGTACTAAGTACCTTCCGATAGCAGATTTAGAAACACCATAATTAACAGCTGACAAGTATATGCAGCCTGCAATATTTTATTTGAAGAAGTTGGTTGTCTTGTTTGCAGTCACACTGTGTCTCATTTTATTGCAATGGAATTTAAAAATTTGGTCTTAAAATTAAATAACTTTTTAGTATTATAACGTTCAGGCAACACAGCTGTTTCTTCTAAACATGTAGTTTTTGACGTCTTCCAAAGCATAATTTCACATAAAAATGTAAATTATGGATCTATAACCTTACTTTGTTTACCTTGGCACGTAATGTAAAAAGGTGCAATCATCTTTACACAAAGTCATCATGCTTTGGCTTCAGTAACACTAATATATAATTTCAAACACTAAATCAGCATAAATGTGCGAAAATATCGTGATAATATTCCTTAAATACTTACTTTTAGTAGAGCAGAACATGCCACCAGCACAGTTCCTTCACACTGACTCAGCTGTACACACGTCACATTTTGTTGCCAACATTATTGAATAAGGAAAAAATTTCTCTCTGTCAGCTTACATGTCCCTAGAGAACTAAAACCTTGTAATTCAAAGAAGTATATCTTTTTCAGACCCAGTAAAGGTGAAATAATTACATTTTGTTGAGAATGGAAATCTTATTAGTAAAATATATGGAAATTATATAAGAAAATTTTAAAAATAAGAAATGAACTACCCCCCACTTAGAATTCTATTTACAAATTATTCATTTGTGAAGAAAGTTTAAGACTGCACAATGTTAAGTCTAATAAATTCAAAATTATTTAATAATTTTGAGAATGTATTTCATTTACTAGAGTACATATAACCTATCCTCATGTCCAAATTTTTCCACTTTTCGGAGAAGCGACCAATTTTCCTCCAGATGCCTTCTTAAATCTCATGGAAATTAGATCATTGAAGTGTATACTGACTTTAGAAGTGTAGAAAAAGGAATTTCAAAAAACTTTCTATCATCAGCATCACGAGAATTGTTTCTTGATTCCGAAGCGTTCACGAAACAGCGTGATGACACAGCGTAGGTTAAACCTCTATAGATCAGATTAAGAGAACATACACGATGTAATGTGTATTATATTAATTCTATTTAATTAATTGATTCTCGTGTTTCACACAACAGCCTCTAGCCAAGCAATGAACACGACGGTACAAGAGAAAATATACAAATAACATAAAAGATTAAGAAATAACTTTAATATGCACAACACGAAACACACACAAATATATATATATATATAAAGAAGGAAAGAACTTACGACAGTGGCCCCTCGGGTGACGTCAGGAACCTAGCAATCATCTCTATTTACTTCTCACATAAAAACACACATGGAGATCCCCTGATGGAAAAACAGATAATGTTTTTATCGACAGAAGAAATGGATATTGGAACACGTTCAGGGGCCAACGGAGATTCAGACCATTAATTAGTCATTATATAGGTGTAGAATAATGACTCTGAAAAATAATCACTCAACTAAAGAGCCAAGGATAAACTTTCAGAAATTTAGAGATTCCAGCAACTCAAGGAGCTTATTAGCAGTTGATGGAGGATAAACTAACAGACGAAGAACCCAAAAATGTTGATAAAACCTCGGAGAACTTCAAGTATCCATGAAAAACGCTGGGAGTATGACACAAAGTTGTACCAAGTACCGGATGAAACTGTACAAGATCACGCACGAATTCAGTTTTACTAACAAATTAAGCTTTTAAGGGCTACTATGAGAGATACATAAGCCCACATGAAAATCCAAGTTCAATTAACAGACCCTTTTAAAATTACGCAGGGCCTTAATCAGGGTGAAGGGCTTGGCCCCATCGCTACTTAATCTGGCACTGGAGCACACCAGAACATCGTGCAACACAGATTGTGGGTTACGAAGGCGACATCTGCCTTCTGAACAGGAATACCAGGGAAATCAAAGGAACATAACAGGAACTCAAGAAAACTGACAAAGAAACTGGTCTCAGTTCAAAATGTCATCAACAAATGACTCAGACACGCTCTGGAACCTACAAAGGCCAATGGCTCAGAATTGGTGACTGAGTCGATACCTGGAGATTCATAAAATTTTAATTTCCCAATGGCAATTTCAACTCCATCTGCTAAACATGTAGTTTTTGACGTCTTCCAAAGCATAATTTCACATAAAAATGTAAATTATGGATCTATAACCTTACTTTGTTTACCTTGGCACGTAATGTAAAAAGGTGCAATCATCTTTACACAAAGTCATCATGCTTTGGCTTCAGTAACACTAATATATAATTTCAAACACTAAATCAGCATAAATGTGCGAAAATATCGTGATAATATTCCTTAAATACTTACTTTTAGTAGAGCAGAACATGCCACCAGCACAGTTCCTTCACACTGACTCAGCTGTACACACGTCACATTTTGTTGCCAACATTATTGAATAAGGAAAAAATTTCTCTCTGTCAGCTTACATGTCCCTAGAGAACTAAAACCTTGTAATTCAAAGAAGTATATCTTTTTCAGACCCAGTAAAGGTGAAATAATTACATTTTGTTGAGAATGGAAATCTTATTAGTAAAATATATGGAAATTATATAAGAAAATTTTAAAAATAAGAAATGAACTACCCCCCACTTAGAATTCTATTTACAAATTATTCATTTGTGAAGAAAGTTTAAGACTGCACAATGTTAAGTCTAATAAATTCAAAATTATTTAATAATTTTGAGAATGTATTTCATTTACTAGAGTACATATAACCTATCCTCATGTCCAAATTTTTCCACTTTTCGGAGAAGCGACCAATTTTCCTCCAGATGCCTTCTTAAATCTCATGGAAATTAGATCATTGAAGTGTATACTGACTTTAGAAGTGTAGAAAAAGGAATTTCAAAAAACTTTCTATCATCAGCATCACGAGAATTGTTTCTTGATTCCGAAGCGTTCACGAAACAGCGTGATGACACAGCGTAGGTTAAACCTCTATAGATCAGATTAAGAGAACATACACGATGTAATGTGTATTATATTAATTCTATTTAATTAATTGATTCTCGTGTTTCACACAACAGCCTCTAGCCAAGCAATGAACACGACGGTACAAGAGAAAATATACAAATAACATAAAAGATTAAGAAATAACTTTAATATGCACAACACGAAACACACACAAATATATATATATATATAAAGAAGGAAAGAACTTACGACAGTGGCCCCTCGGGTGACGTCAGGAACCTAGCAATCATCTCTATTTACTTCTCACATAAAAACACACATGGAGATCCCCTGATGGAAAAACAGATAATGTTTTTATCGACAGAAGAAATGGATATTGGAACACGTTCAGGGGCCAACGGAGATTCAGACCATTAATTAGTCATTATATAGGTGTAGAATAATGACTCTGAAAAATAATCACTCAACTAAAGAGCCAAGGATAAACTTTCAGAAATTTAGAGATTCCAGCAACTCAAGGAGCTTATTAGCAGTTGATGGAGGATAAACTAACAGACGAAGAACCCAAAAATGTTGATAAAACCTCGGAGAACTTCAAGTATCCATGAAAAACGCTGGGAGTATGACACAAAGTTGTACCAAGTACCGGATGAAACTGTACAAGATCACGCACGAATTCAGTTTTACTAACAAATTAAGCTTTTAAGGGCTACTATGAGAGATACATAAGCCCACATGAAAATCCAAGTTCAATTAACAGACCCTTTTAAAATTACGCAGGGCCTTAATCAGGGTGAAGGGCTTGGCCCCATCGCTACTTAATCTGGCACTGGAGCACACCAGAACATCGTGCAACACAGATTGTGGGTTACGAAGGCGACATCTGCCTTCTGAACAGGAATACCAGGGAAATCAAAGGAACATAACAGGAACTCAAGAAAACTGACAAAGAAACTGGTCTCAGTTCAAAATGTCATCAACAAATGACTCAGACACGCTCTGGAACCTACAAAGGCCAATGGCTCAGAATTGGTGACTGAGTCGATACCTGGAGATTCATAAAATTTTAATTTCCCAATGGCAATTTCAACTCCATCTGCTCTATGTACCTCAGGATCATTAAATCTATCGACAAGGGCACATGGACGCACGTTTTAATATCAAAATAACTGTTTTATATACACGTAGACTTTTATTTCAGGCATTTATTTAAAAAAAATTATTTCGATAGATGTTTCACCATCTGCTGTATGTACCTCAGGATCATTAAATCTATCGGCAAGGGCACATGGACGCATGTTTTATTATCAAAATAACTGTGTTTTATACACGTAAACTTTTATTTTGAGCATTTTTTTTAAAAAAAAATTATTTCGATAGATGTTTCAGAGGGTTAGACAACGGTTGCAGTCTAGCTGGGCGTTTCTCCGTCGTCTGCAGTGAATGGGTCCCAATTACCGAGTCCCGCCATCTTCGCACTCAAATCCCACAATTTCTTGGCTGCCTCGGGGTCACGTGCCCTGCGTGAAGCCGCCTTCTCCCTGCATTCGCTATAAAATACAACACCAACCAACGAAGACGAAATTTAACTTATCGGAAACACGACGCAGGATTTTGTAATGTCGGTGACGAACTATTAATATTATCTCACCTGTAATAAAGTCCTGTTTTATTGGTAAGTTTCTCGTCCAATGAGCAGTAGATCGTTGTCTGAGCTCCGTCTTCAGCGGTCTTGAAGAACAAGGCGCCCATGCCACCTAAAATACTTCGAAGGCCGCGAAAATAAGTGTCGTTCAAATGTCTACCTAGCTCAGTCCGAACTACCCCTGGGTGCACGGAATACGTGGTCACACCCGTCCCTGGAACAAGAGGTTAGGGTCCCAGTGACGACAACTCGCTGTCAGTGACGTCATGGCCTCTCGCACGTCAAAACATTTGACTTACCTTCAAGTCTCCTGGCCAATTCGTTGCTGAATAAAACATTGGCTAGTTTGCTCTGGTTGTAAGCTTTCACAGGACCGTACGAATTTTCGAGATTCAAATCATCGAAATTCATATTTCCGTCTGGAAATGAGACAGTGATTTAGATTCAAATTTGTCTTTCTACGTAAGACAGTTGATATCTTGCCTTTAAAAAACGACAAATGTAAACACTGAGAAAATCCTGTTTTAAGAAACGTTAGTTCTGCACTGACAACTTGTCAGCAAAATACAGTCATTTCTACTTAAAGAGCGAAACAGAGAACAGTTCAAGGAATATCCGAGAGTGACCTCATTTGCGGAACTTCAATACGTCGTTAAATTCAACAAAGAAACTTACCAAAGTTCGATCAGGAAACAAATCTCCCCCCAAAAACATCACATCGTAGAAATTTGCAATGTTCCGTATGACATGACGTGTATATCTCCTGTCCCTTTAATAAATTCTATCACACGTAAAGACGGAACCTCGAAAAATACTATACAGTTGATTCAGAGTGTTTAAACAGATCATAAATCAATAGACGAGATACGAACCATTTTAATCTTGGTACTAGAATTACTGAAATTATTAGTAAAACATCAAAAGGTTTTACAAAGCCAAAAGGAATATACAATTACATGAGAGAGATTTAGGAATTCGTGACGAAATTTGTGTCTAATGACTACGCTGAAAGTTAATAGGCAAATCATATATTTATCCTAATATGACCAATATAATGTTTCGTACTTTACATAAAATATATTAGAGTTTCAAGAACACCAGAACTTCGGGACAATTTTAATAATATCCCGAAGCTGTTATTTGTATAGAGTTCGTCTTGCTACTGTCCGATTACTTCGATGTTAAATTTGATTATCGAGACGAAATTTCGGACATTTACCATCAGCGGTAAAGATGGACAACTCATTATTTTTTCAAATGATAGGACGCAGATTATAAATTAAACTGACGTATTTATTTTCGAAATTTTGTTAAATGAAATTATGCTAAGTGACGCAGAAGTACGTCGCTCTGTTCGAAAACTGAACGTAAGTCATGGAGTTAGTATGACTGATGCTAATATTTTACGTGTTTTTCTAAGATACGAGACTCAACAAATTATAAGACTGTGTTTCTATGCAGAGTCTTTTATTATTAATAGTTTTCTATTAAGGACTTAGCAACCTTAAGACATTTTTATCTCATAGACTCCACTCAACACATTACGTAAGTTTGCGTTATAATGATCCCCTTTAAAGAGGTTTTCTCCACAGAGGCATCCAGAGATCTCAAGGTGGATTACTCCTAACGTTGTACAATGTAAGGACTTTACGCATTCAAAATGGCACATAATACAAATTCGACGTACCTAGAACTTCCCACTGTCACAGTCGATAAAACAATATCGAAGTTTTGTACACACCTCGCGGAGAATCGATACGTTCTCGCAGAGAATCGATACGTCCTCGCGGAGAATCGATACGTTCTCGGCGAATCACAAGGCAAAAGTCGAGACGATAATCGAAATCATCCAAAGTGATGACGCAAGCTGTGGCAGTTGTGATACTAATGGATACTCGGTTATGTTAGGTTAGGTTAGGTTAAGTGGAAAATTTCGTGCGAAATGCAGAAAGCACCGACTCCTCTGTCGTGGAAAAGCCATTTTCCAATCTAGTGGCATCTAAACGAAGCGCGCAACATCACTCAGGCCATTTGAAACAAAACTTTGAGAGTTTTTCTATCGATTGGTGTGCGTACGAAGTTCTAGATACGCCGTATTTGTGTTCGATATCATTTTGAAAAGCGTAGAGTCCTTTTGTGCTCACCCTGTATTTCTCGCATTATCCAAACTGTTCTTACTTTCATGTAGTTTTGAGGACACTGTGACGATCCTGGCTGGTGCAGACCGGATGACCCGGGGCAAGAGGAGGCAGGTGAACAAGAAGTGACCCAAGTGGTTCACCCCGAAATGGGTCTCAAATCCGTCCTCTGTCTTGCCCTGGGGACACGCCATGACCCCTGCAACAACTCTACTCATTACGGGGATTCATAGCTGACCCCTAGGTCGCTGTCATGCGTGACACTTCGCGGTGTACGAGAATCTGTCCGTCACACTGAAAACCCACAAAATTAGACCGTGGAAACCTGACTTACGTCATCATTGACGTGGAATCACACGATAACATTAATATTAACACAATAGCCATTGTTCTTAACCTACTTAAATCGAT